CTGCCAAATGTTTTGTTTCCAGTACGCTACAACAACGCTCTTGATTACATGGTGTGGGTATACAATGAGCTGAACATTACAACAATACAACCAACCAGCTTGGAAACCTGGGTATTCTAGGTGTTTTACTGTCCTTTGTTGACAGATTTGATGCTATAACATTATCTATTATTAACGTATGACCTGTTTTAGTCACATTATGGCTTAAATATTGCTGATATGACTATAAATTGTAACTCACTCACTGGAAACCTTATTGCCATTATGCAAAGCTACCTTAGCCCTACAACAGTGGTAAGTCTATGTTAAGATATGGGTGTTACAATCACCTTAGTGTTAAGACTGCTTTCTCTGGTACCCAGACCCCACGTGCATAAATCTATCATAGTTAAGGTGACCGTAATTCCCATACTTTAACATGGGCTGACAACAGACAGTCGTAGAGTTCAGATTGAGCTGTGCAACAGCCACCAAAGTGTCAGCATTCATCCAAGCGAATACTATGATAAATACTCAAGCCACCTAATCCTCTTTTTCTACTGACTCTTACAACATGCATAAAGTACTGGGGACATATTCTCCATGGATTGTACAAATTGGAATTCTGCTTGCTAGTGAGGATCCTTACCTACCAGAACTCCTACTGCGGGTGACCGCCTCCGTGGTGTAGTGGTTAGAGCGTCCGCCAAGAGAGCGGAAGGTCGCGGGTTCAATCCCCGACCGCGTCATACCAAAAGACGTTAAAATATGGTACTTGTTGGTCCCTGCCTGGCGCTCAGCATTAATGGGTAAAACAAGGACTGGTCGGCTGGTGACGAGCGAACACTATCACCACTAGCCTACCTCACCACCTAAGTAAACTAGATCACCTTTCTTGCCTTGCTTCCCAGTCATCATCTTTCATCGGTTGGAACAATAAGAGGCAATTGATACAAACCTGCAGTTGCAAAGTCAAACACAAACCAGAATACTACACCACAGCATTGATGTTTTAATTAATGAATGCAAGTGAGGCCCTTCCTTAAAGAATACCTTTCGTTAATGTCACCAGTTTTAGGAGATTCTTCTGCCACACTGCGATGTGAACTGCTTGTTCCCCCGATGATGTAGGTGAGGGTCACGACACGGTGCATGCTTCCAGCTTCACTGATTCCATGTTAATCTTATCCTATCCCATGCAAGGAATTTCACTTCAAAATAGATGTTGCCACTAACTTTTCAGACCACCTCGGTAGTGTAGTGGTTAGAGCGTCTGCCAAGAAAGGCGAAGGTCGCAGGTTCAATCCCAGACCGCGTCTTACCAAAAGACGTTAAAATATGGTACTTGTTGGTCCCTGCCTGGCGCGCTCAGCATTAATGGGTAAAACAAGGACTGGTCGGCTCGGAGTCAGTATAATGTGTCTGAGTGGGGTATTCATGCTTCACTGCGGCATGGTATCTCAGTGGGCTAGCACGATAAAACCAGCTTAAGTCTGGGCTAGTACAAGCAGCCGCACATACACATACACACGCATGCACATCGTCATATGAGCGAAATATTCTCAAGCACGACATTAAACCCAATTTCACCTCACCTACCGCAGGTGCCCCAAAACATTGGTTTCTAAAAGCAATATTAACACACATATTGATAAACTGCTGAACAACTGACTGTCTGAAAATTCCTACATTCAGCAGGCAATTATTATCTGTCAACCGACACTAAAACAGTGGATCCAAATGTTGTCTTGACCCAAGCAGATAAAAAACAGTCTGTAGGTTGATGGTTCTGGGTGGTTTTATATCATGCATGAAATAATTTCCGAGAGTGATGTCATACCTTCAGTTCATGCATGAATCAGTTCTCAAAACAATAAAGCTCTGCACAGTGAAGCCCCAAAACCCACCGAAAGGCTTGCATTGGTCCCATTGGTGCTCATTTCAGAATAATTACATTTGTTTACAATTTAGTGAAGTCCGGTCATATGTCTACTGAGGGTATGGTCACTGGCACTGAAATTTCTCTTGTGGAATAGGGCAAGATTGTCTCAGAACAGATTTTTAAAGTTGACAGTGGACCACAAGTAGCAATAGTTGCAAGTCAAGGACCCGACGTAAAGGATGTAGAAGAAGTAACAATAGACAAGAGTCAACATTCTAGCACAGAGGTTCTAGCTGTCAGTGGGCCACAAGTAGTACTATCACGAGTCAGCATTCTAGCATAGAGGTTCCAGCTGACAGTGGGCCACAAGCAGTAGTATCACGAGTCAAGAGTCTAGCACAAAGGTTCTAGCTGACAGTGGACCACAAGTAGTAACATTAGTGAGTCAAGAGGCTAGCAGAGAGGTTCTAGCTGACAGTGGACCACAAGTAGTAACATTAGTGAGTCAAGAGGCTAACAGAGAGGTTCTAGCTGACAGTAGACCACAAGTAGTAACATTCGTGAGTCAAGAGGCTAGCAGAGAGGTTCTAGCTGACAGTGGACCACAAGTAGTAACATTAGTGAGTCAAGAGGCTAACAGAGAGGTTCTAGCTGACAGTAGACCACAAGTAGTAACATTCGTGAGTCAAGAGGCTAGCAGAGAGGTTCTAGCTGACAGTAGACCACAAGTAGTAACATTCGTGAGTCAAGAGACTAACAGAGAGGTTCTAGCTGACAGTGGACCACAAGTAGTAAAATTAGTGAGTCAAGAGGCTAACAGAGAGGTTCTAGCTGACAGTAGACCACAAGTAGTAACATTAGTGAGTCAAGAGGCTAACAGAGAGGTTCTAGCTGACAGTAGACCACAAGTAGTAACATTAGTGAGTCAAGAGGCTAGCAGAGAGGTTCTAGCTGACAGTAGACCACAAGTAGTAACATTAGTGAGTCAAGAGGCTAGCAGAGAGGTTCTAGCTGACAGTAGACCACAAGTAGTAACATTAGTGAGTCAAGAGGCTAACAGAGAGGTTCTAGCTGACAGTGGACCACAAGTAGTAACATTAGTGAGTCAAGAGGCTAACAGAGAGGTTCTAGCTGACAGTGGACCACAAGTAGTAACATTAGTGAGTCAAGAGACTAGCAGAGAGGTTCTAGCTGACAGTGGACCACAAGTAGTAACATTAGTGAGTCAAGAGACTAGCAGAGAGGTTCTAGCTGACAGTGGACCACAAGTAGTAACATTAGTGAGTCAAGAGGCTAGCAGAGAGGTTCTAGCTGACAGTGGACCACAAGTAGTAACATTAGTGAGTCAAGAGGCTAGCAGAGAGGTTCTAGCTGACAGTAGACCACAAGTAGTAACATTCGTGAGTCAAGAGGCTAACAGAGAGGTTCTAGCTGACAGTGAACCACAAGTAGTAACATTAGTGAGTCAAGAGGCTAGCAGAGAGGTTCTAGCTGACAGTGGACCACAAGTAGTAACATTAGTGTCAAGAGGCTAGCAGAGAGGTCAAGAGGCTAGCAGAGAGGTTCTAGCTGACAGTGGACCACAAAGTAGTAACATTAGTGAGTCAAGAGACTAGCAGAGAGGTTCTAGCTGACAGTGGACCACAAGTAGTAACATTCATGTGAGTCAAGAGGCTAGCAGAGAGGTTCTAGCTGACAGTGGACCACAAGTAGTAACATTAGTGAGTCAAGAGGCTAGCAGAGAGGTTCTAGCTGACAGTAGACCACAAGTAGTAACATTAGTGAGTCAAGAGGCTAACAGAGAGGTTCTAGCTGACAGTGGACCACAAGTAGTAACATTAGTGAGTCAAGAGGCTAGCAGAGAGGTTCTAGCTGACAGTGGACCACAAGTAGTAACATTAGTGAGTCAAGAGGCTAACAGAGAGGTTCTAGCTGACAGTAGACCACAAGTAGTAACATTAGTGAGTCAAGAGGCTAGCAGAGAGGTTCTAGCTGACAGTAGACCACAAGTAGTCAACATTAGTGAGTCAAGAGGCTAGCAGAGAGGTTCTAGCTGACAGTGGACCACAAGTAGTAACATTAGTGAGTCAAGAGACTAGCAGAGAGGTTCTAGCTGACAGTGGACCACAAGTAGTAACATTAGTGAGTCAAGAGGCTAGCAGAGTAACATTAGTGAGGTTCTAGCTGACAGTGGACCACAAGTAGTAACATTCGTGAGTCAAGAGGCTAGCAGAGAGGTTCTAGCTGACAGTGAACCACAAGTAGTAACATTAGTGAGTCAAGAGGCTAGCAGAGAGGTTCTAGCTGACAGTGGACCACAAGTAGTAACATTCGTGAGTCAAGAGGCTAGCAGAGAGGTTCTAGCTGACAGTGGACCACAAGTAGTAACATTAGTGAGTCAAGAGACTAGCAGAGAGGTTCTAGCTGACAGTGGACCACAAGTAGTAACATTCGTGAGTCAAGAGGCTAGCAGAGAGGTTCTAGCTGACAGTGGACCACAAGTAGTAACATTAGTGAGTCAACATTAGTGAGTCAAGTCAAGAGGCTAGCAGAGAGGTTCTAGCTGACAGTGAACCACAAGTAGTAACATTAGTGAGTCAAGAGGCTAGCAGAGAGGTTCTAGCTGACAGTGGACCACAAGTAGTAACATTAGTGAGTCAAGAGGCTAACAGAGAGGTTCTAGCTGACAGTAGACCACAAGTAGTAACATTAGTGAGTCAAGAGGCTAGCAGAGAGGTTCTAGCTGACAGTAGACCACAAGTAGTAACATTCGTGAGTCAAGAGGCTAACAGAGAGGTTCTAGCTGACAGTGAACCACAAGTAGTAACATTAGTGAGTCAAGAGGCTAGCAGAGAGGTTCTAGCTGACAGTGGACCACAAGTAGTAACATTAGTGAGTCAAGAGGCTAACAGAGAGGTTCTAGCTGACAGTAGACCACAAGTAGTAACATTAGTGAGTCAAGAGACTAGCACAAAGGTTCTAGCTGACAGTAGACCACAAGTAGTAACATTAGTGAGTCAAGAGACTAGCATCAATGTTCTAGCTTACACAAGAAGTACTGTTCATAAGTCAAGGTGCTCATAGGGTTATTGTTGACAGTGGACCACAAACAATAATATTTGTGAGAAAAGGATTAAGCATACAGGTTCTGGTTGGCAGATCACAAACATCCACGGACCTAGTAATAAGTAGAAAATACTAGACAGACATAACAGACTCCTGTATTCATCCGTCCCCCATTGTTGCAAGTGAAAACACACAAATCCCTAAAGACGAACTCGTCTCAGCAGTACAGCTACACTCTTGTGGCTTACAGCCCATGTATACTGTGTGATACATGTATTATCAGGGAGGCTATTACCAGCTATACACTCAGATGAACAGTGGGAGAAAGCTGAACAAAACAAGCATTACGACACCATAGCAGAAGGAAAGAAGGTGATAAACATGCCATACATCGCAGGCAAGTCATTTGCTTTTGCTGAAACAGCCTACTACTATAGTACAAATCGTAGCAATATATTGATTTAGAATCAGGGAGGGAAAAAAGTTTCCCGCTGGTAAACGTCCACTCAGCTCCAAGCTTGACGTAATAGGGCAGTCAATGTGAATGACGCTTGCAAGGCTCAATGTGCTATTTTCAGATCGGGATTCAACTATTGATCGCCACTTAACCTAAAAAACAGTGTGATGAGAGATCCTAGCATAGAGGTGGCCAGCAAGCACTGGCTGGCCGCTGCCTCCTTTGCCACTGCTGACGACAACGTAAGGCCTACGCAACTCTGGAGGTGGCAATTACACACTCGGGGAAGAGAGTAAACACATCTCATACTACTACTAGATCTACAACATTTGAATATACACTGGAGTGGTAGTAGTAGTAGTGGTAGTAGTAGTAGCTTTATTCACTATGATGCTGCAGCTATGAAATTAAGTACTACTACTAGTAGTAGTAGTAGTAGTAGTAGAGGATGTGGTGGTGACAGCAGTGATGTTTTGGTATATACCATATTCCCCAAGCCAGAATTTCTGATGCCATCAATGACGATCTAAGTCTGTCAAGACCAAGTATATCATGCATGACCGACTCAATAGTACTTACCTATTTACCTGTGCCAGTAATGATGGAAAGACTCACACAGGCCTAAGACTGACATTGGCATATGATGGAGACAGGCTTGTTTTGTTTGTTCTCAACATCCATCAACACTAGTTTAGTTATAGTCTGCAACTTTAGCCACTAGTCAGAAGCAAAAGTTTAGTCAGATTTTGTTTTGACTCACAGCCTTAATCGTAATCCGTAAAATTAAACTAAATTTAATTGACAATGGAAATGGGGGCCATGTTCATTCTCATAGACTCGAAAGGTTTTGACAGATTGTTGTCTTGGGCATACAAAATGGTGGTAAATATTATTCCATACAGTTGAAGAACAAAGACACCCAGTCAACCCAGTACTGAACCTGACTGACTGATCTAATTTACCTGCATGCTACACCTGAGAATCTCACCTGTCGTGCAATCCCTGCTGGGATCTTGAATTTATTCCTGGCAGTTATTCTGGACACATCTAGCTAAGATCACTCTCAAGGCCAAAGACAAACCCTACAAACACTGAGGCTTGGATGAGACTTGCCCAAGGCTGCATGAGCTCCAATCTTATCCAGCTCCAGTCAGATCACAATAACTAATCTGAAAAATCACAACATGCTTCTGGGTGCATGGAGTCAGGTCCTACTTAAGCTCCCAGATGTTCACAATGAACTCGGGTATCATGCCATTCAGTGTCATCCATACCGCCAGCTAGCAAAGTTTTTGGTCTTGGACCAGCAAACCAGTGGTTGATAGAGTGAGCTAGCATATGCCTTTATTGTTTGGTGACTGTCCCTCTGTGGCAGATTCTTTATATGACAAATGAATGTGAGTCCAGGAACTGTTTTACTGTAACTATTTCATTGGCCATGCCTAACCTTCAAAAGTATTACCATTCACGACTGAGTGAACTCTGGTGTACAGTACTGTCAGTAGACTACCAGCAGCATTCCTGCAGCTTTGAATACTCATGTCTAGACCGGGCAGACTAGTGGTTGATAGCACAAGCAACCATCCACATAATTAAGGTATGACAATGACACAACCATTCAGGCCAAGAAGATCCGGGGTAGAACTGATCTTCAGTAATTCATGCATGTCATAAGAAGCTACTAACGGGATCGGGTGGTCAGTTTCACTGATTTGGTTTACACATGTCATTGTATACCAATTGTTTAGATTGATGCTCATGCTGTTGGAATATTGCTGAGTGCAGCGTTAAACAACAAACCACAACCTGAAACAACTCAATCTTCACTAGACGACTTGTACAACACTGGAGACCTAGCTTGCCCTGGTATCCACTGAGGATTCAGTCTACACAGAGCTCTGTAAGAAATCGAATATCTCCAATGTTGAAGCTGACTGTTGTGAGTGTCATGTGCCCACACTACCTACAGGACCACCCCAAGCTTCTCACTTCTGCTTGGTCCTTTGTACAGTACACACTACCAGTCAATGAGGATCACAATATACAGCTGTATTCAGATCAGAAATGAAACTATCCTGGGTGTTAGTTCCTAAAACATAACAGAGGTATGCTGGAAACAGTGGAGAAACATGTCTGTTGATACTGTTCACTATATTGTACTGGTGCAATTGACACAGAACAGAAAGGTCAAACATATGATTGCTTTTCAGTAAACATTGATCTTTGGATATTTCCCACATTTTCCACAAATATACTCTAAAAAGAGGTAAGAAAAGGTACTAGTACCCAGGTCTCACATGGAGATGTACTCTACCAAACATAAACGCTCTAGAATAAAAACAATCAACTATCAATTGCAAAACAGCTAAAGTTATCAAAAAGAAAAAGAATCAAAAATATTTCCACAGCAGAATTCACAAGACAGATCGTTAACTTTCTGATGTACATCTTTTAAACTCCAAGCTGGAAAAAATGGAAATGTTCCAACATCAACATCTGATCAGTAAACAACAGTTCTCACAGGGGTGTGTGTAACCTTTTTCTACTGCTTCAAGACAACAGTCCAACAATCAGGTGAATATTTGTGTGCATGTTTTGCAGCAGCTCTGCGTGGAACTGGATGCTCACTACAGGGAGTATGGAGTCGACGCAACATATAACATGCCCCATTTCTCACTGGTGATAATCGACTGCTGGGAAGACAGGACAGTGGCTCCCTCTACAGTCTGCGGAGGAGTCAGACACAACAAAACACACCATCTCATTAATAGCACCAGGGGTGACATTTACCATGAAAACTGATGCCCAGTCTCATCTCACTGGTGGGTGTGGCCAAGAAGCGCATATCTCACAGCTCAAGTTGTGTGAATATTTTCCGCAGCTAGTAAATCATTGCTTGCCAAGCATGTCTCCTACAGAAAATAAATGCCTCTTTTTTGACTGCATCCATTATGTTGAAGATAATACACTCTGTCAGATTGTAAACTAGGTAAGCAAGTAGTAAACCATTCTACAAAGATCATTAACATGCAAATACAACACTATTTCCGAAAAGAAGTCTACAGTTGTAAAACTAAAAATATACACAGTATCTCATTTCAGACTTCAAAGTTCCAGAAAGAAAGCTGCACAAAAATCGCCAATACAAACATCTGCACAGCCAAGTTATCATACCAGGTGATAAAAAACAAATACTGTAGTGCAAGCTTATAGGTGTAACAGTGAGTGAGTGAGTGACTTTTATTCCACTGAATGGGTTTCACACAATGTGCACATGTGGAGAAGCGGTACAGAAGGGACCAAAAATTGATATTGCCTGGCACCACACCACAAAAATGTTTGGTAGCACAAATCAGCTCCCCTTACTTAACCACAGTCCAGAGATATGTCAGGATTGAAAACCAGCATTTCAGTCATATTACATTGTCTTAGCTTAATGTGGCAAGAAAGCCAGAAAAGGTGCAGATATGTACCACTCTGTCAACCCCCACAAAGACCGACTGACTGAGTTTGGCTTTACGCCGCCTTTAGCAATATTCCAGCAACATCATGGCGGGGGACACCAGAAATGGGCTTCACACATTGTACCCATGTGGGGATTCGAACCCGGGTCCTCGGCATGACGAGCCAACGCTTTAACCACTAGGCTACCCCACCGCCCCTACCCTCACAAAGAACATGAAGTATCTTAAGTCATTTGTTGAGTACTGTCACCTTTACCAACAGGGGCAAGTCTGCACTGATAGGCATCGCAAAACAACAAGATTAACTAAAGTTCTTTGACAGGGCAAGCTCAAGTCCATCTTACAAGTCCAACTTGACTGGGCAAATTCAAGACCATCTTGCAAGTCCAACTAACAAGATCTACAAACGCTTCTCTGACTGGGCAAATTCAAGACCATCTTGCAAGTCCAACTAACAAGATCTACAAACGCTCTTTGACTGGGCAAATTCAAGACCATCTTGCAAGTCCAACTAACAAGATCTACAAACGCTCTTTGACTGGGCAAATTCAAGACCATCTTGCAAGTGCAACTAACAAGATCTACAAACGCTTCTTTGACTGGGCAAATTCAAGACCATCTTGCAAGTCCAACTAACAAGATCTACAAACGTTCTTTGACTGGGCAAATTCAAGACCATCTTGCAAGTGCAACTTCAGTAAACAAACATGAGGAAATTTCATAATGTAATAATAAATCATAAAAATAACAGACAGTTATATAATAACATTAAGTACGAAATATAGCTGGGGTAATTAAAAAATTCACTCTGGTCCAATAACATCAATATCTTATGAAGTGACCTTATGAAGTTTACATTTACACTCATGGCTTCATCACTCAATTCATCAACGTCATCAGATCATTAAAACATATTATTTGGAAAGAAAACCAAAAATTTCTGTGCATTCATTTTCTTACTTTTCTCTGGGACCCAAGTGTTTCTTGAGACCCCCCATTTTGTAACCAGGCACACAACACAAGTAAATGCTGTCAGTACCATTGACACTCCAAAAATATAGCTAAAAAAATATATATGTTTGTGCAATTTGATCTATAACTACACCGTTTTACTGGACAGTGAAGATACACTTCCTTTGCTTATTATCATCTAAGATCACAAAACCCCAAATCAAGTTCTGTTGCACACAGATTTCCATTCATGTCCTTCCTGCCTCATTCATGCAGGTCAATCTCCCTCAGCCATCTGTTTCTCTCATCAGGTCTAATATATCACCAGGTTTTGCCTCATCTTGTGCCATCTACCTCTGCAGAACTGACATGATCACCAGCCTGAGTCACCTGCCTGCACCTCCAGCTAACAGGTTTACACACTACTTCCAGTCAACAGACCTGAGTCACCATCTGCTGCTTTCACCTTCAGCTAACAAGTTTACACACTGCTTCCAGTCAACAGACCTGAGTCACCATCTGCTGCTTTCACCTTCAGCTAACAAGTTTACACACTGCTTCCAGTCAACAGACCTGAGTCACCATCTGCTGCTTGCACCTTCAGCTAACAAGTTTACACACTGCTTCCAGTCAACAGACCTGAGTCACCATCTGCTGCTTGCACCTTCAGCTAACAAGTTTACACACTGCTTCCAGTCAACAGACCTGAGTCACCATCTGCTGTTTGCACCTTCAGCTAACAAATTTACACACTGCTTCCAGTTAACAGACCTGAGTCACCATCTGCTGCTTTCACCTTCAGCTAACAAGTTTACACACTGCTTCCAGTCAACAGACCTGAGTCACCATCTGCTGCTTGCACCTTCAGCTAACAAGTTTACACACTGCTTCCAGTCAACAGACCTGAGTCACCATCTGCTGCTGGCACCTTCACAGTGTAGAACTGACCACATAGCCAGCTGACGGCCAGGCAACAGCAGGATTAAAACTGCACATCAAGACACAAGAACCACACCTATACCTGCACCACGTGAAATGGGTCTAATAAGTTCTAACAACATCATTCGTTTATCAGTCGGGCACCAATGACATCATTTCCAAGGGACATAAGCCATGGTGTGTTTATTATGGACATAGAACTCTCGTTTTTAAAATTTGAATGGATATAACGCAAAAAATAAAGTAGCTACTTCTGCTATACATACGGGTTTGACTATAAAACTACTTGACAAATGAAAAAGTGCAAGACAAAAAGGTTAATTTTCGTGTAAACTTGCCCTTTAAGTATTCTATTCACCAAACTCAAATTGTCTACTACATTTGAGTTTAATATCGATTTCAGTTCATTCTGGGAAATGTGTTTTCTCAAATTTGAGTAAAAACTCTAACTTAAATCAAAACTGAAACTCAAGTTTGTTTCGTGAAATCAGGGCCAGGTTATGATGTCATTTCTGTTATCTTTGTCATTTCATTGTAATGTCATTTCCATCTCTTTTGTTTGATTTTTGTTCAATTTTGTCAATTGTACTTTCTTTCATTTATAGGAAACTTACTGGGCTTCCAGGTTGAATGTCACAGGTCGTGACATCACTTCTGGCAGAGACCATATACCGATGGACGGGCCTCTGGCCAAGTCGGAGACTGATCACCGTCACGCAAGACTAAGTGGAACTTTCAAGAAAGACTACCAGATTTGTTGAGTTACATGTGAGGGTTTTGTGAATTGATTTAATCCCCAGTTCAAGCCATTACATATCCAAAAACTTTGAGATTATTAATTTTCTTGATTTGTTTCAGAGCTTTCATTACATATAAGTAACTATGTGTAAACAGTACCAGTTTTGTGAATTAACAAACCAAAACATCTTACAATATCCTATTGAGGAAGAGCTTTATGGATCCATGTCAAATTCTTTATTATGAGGAACACAACGTTTTCTAAATGCCATTCAAAGACCTAATATCCTATTGCTTCAAAAGAAAATTGTGGCCTGTGATCATGAGAAATTAATAATTTATCCATTTTCTGGTACACATAATTTCCTTATATATGAAAGAAAGTCCTTAGTTAACGGAGTGTTAAGGTTTCTTATCATATACAGCCATCAAATTGTATCACCTAACATGTATACATCATTACATTTGGTCGACCACACTTAATTGCACCAGGGCGGTGGGGTAGCCTAGTGGTTAAAGCTTGGCTCGTCACGCCGAAGACCCGGGTTCGATTCCCCACATGGGCACAATGTGTTAAGCCCATTTCTGGTGTCCCCCGCCGTGATATTGCTGGAATATTGCTGGAATATTGCTAAAAGCGGCGTAAAACTAAACTCAGTCAGTCAGTTAATTGCACCAGAACTTGTAGCACTTTTATCTCAGTTAAAAAACGTGCCAACAAACTTAAAGAGGATTTTAAAATTTCACCATTATTTTGTGTGTGTTTCTATGCTAAGAAAATAATTAAATAACTATATTCATACTTTTTATGATTTTTGTCAAAGCTTTTTATGGTTAGTGAAAATTGTCTTCTTGGCAATTAATCTTTGATGAAATAATGTATCAAGACTTTCAAAATTCAAAATTCAGCAGAAATCTAACCAAGCAGACTTTGAAGTCTTATGTTCAACTACTGCAGTAAACATGCATGGATGTTTCATTTCTGGAGATAAATAGTAAACAGGAAGCAAACGAAACACATGGACTTTGGAAAGCTGTTAACTGACTTACTTCCACATAAGCATTTTTGAAGCAATTTACAAATCAACAAAATGGAACCCTAATGATTGCATTTTGAAAAGCAACTGTCACCCTTAAAATCATGACAATGTACAACAAATATACTCTGACAAAAGTAACCAGAGTGAACAGAAGAAGAGCTCTTTCAACATACATAGGTTACTGATGTCCAAAGGACGGACACTGAAGATTACAATAATAAATTATATTTTCCATGGTATTTTTGTGTTCTTGTCACAAATGACAGATGAGGTCATATCTCCACACTCACTGAAACTTCTTGGTCAGCATAATGTAGAATAGCAACAAAACTGAAATTATTCAAAGAAATACCGATCTAAATAATATTGAATTAATGCATCAGTTTTGCCAAGCACATGGCACAGATTTTAAACATTGTGATGGAGGAAGGACAACATGTCTATTGAGAAAAGTGTTCATACACAGTAAACAATGTCGAGGGTCCAATCTCATTCAAGAAAGTCTTTTCACAGTATGCAATGAAGAAGGATACACATTTAGTCTTTAACAGTGTTCTGGTAGTTTGGAAACATACGCACTATTCTATTGCATGTCATCAGGCACACATGAGTTTGGATGACAGTGAAAATATTGCAGCGACACTGAAATATTAAGAATAAAACCCAGGCTTTGTTTCTGCAAACATGTCCACCAGGACCACCAGGCCAGACAGATGGGTGAGTAGTTACTCAAGTTAGCTGAGTTCTGGAAGACAGCACCTGACCAGCCAGTGATTGATAGAGTGAGTGAGTGAATCTTGTTTTACACTACATTGAGCAGTATTCTAGCTATATGGCGGCACTCTGTCAATAATCGAGTCTGGACAAGTCAATCCAGTGATCAACAGCATGAGCATTGATTTACGCAATTGGGATACAATGACATGTGTCAACCAAGCCAGCAAGCATGGGTTACTGGAGATCAATTCTAAGCCAGATCTTGACGGGTGTGATTGATAGAAGGGTCCATGCAGTAACATGCACATAATGCTCAGCAATCAGACCTGCGACAAACTGAGATGGAGACCTGACAGATGAGTGAGTGAGTGAGTGAGTGAGTGAGTGTGGTTTTATGACACTTTTAGCAATATTCCAGCAATATCACAACGGGGGACACCAGAAATGAGCTTCACACATTGTACCCATGTGGGGAATTGAACCCCGGTCTTCGGCGTGACAAGCTAACACTTCAACCTCCAGGCTACCCCACTGCCCCCCTGACAAATGAAGAGGTGAGGTGATATGTTTTGCACCTTTTGTGCTGACTCCACATCTGTGACAGGACATTTCTTGTGTTGCAGCAGATGAGTTCTGCCAGCTTATCTGTCATGTATATCATCAGACTGGCTACCTAAGTCAACACAGGAAGCCGTTCACTTGAACACATGCATGTGCGTGCTCTGTGTGGGGGGACATGGCTAGCATTGTGTGGGGGTGAATCACACCCGGTTGATCGGCCTCACCGTGGGAAACAGGCAGGATGCTCTTCTCCCATACCTCGGAGATAGCCCGGAGTTGGCAGATTGACTTTCCTCGCCACATCCACATACCAATCTGGTGTCATCACCACCACTGAAAACCTCGCCTCCTGCTTCAACACTTATCTTTATACATACAACGCCAATATACAAACACTTATTACTTATTGCTTATCAATTTTTGCATGTGGTTGAGATTATTGCATACCATTTCCTGTGATGGAAAAACAAACAATCACAAAATGTAACAGTGCAGATGTTCTGTCACTTACCCAGAAAAACAGGGTATGTATTTATGCAGCAGTTGGAACTCATGTTGCTTGTCACATGGGTAATGATCTAATATACATGATGCTCATAAAATAAAAGCATGTACATCATGAAGATGTTAGGAGTGAGTGAGTTTGACAGCCTTTAACAATATTCCACAACATGACAGGACCTACAACATGCATTGTGGGCTCACGCAAGTGTGGAGTAGAACCTAGACCTTTGGGATGATAACAAACACTTTAACTACTTGGGTACTCCACAGTCATGTGAATGAGGGACATTTGCTCTCACAATGAGTGAGTGAGTGATAGAGTTTGGTTTTACACCGCTTTTAGCAATATTCCAGCAATATCACGTCAGGGGACACCAGAAATGAGCTTTACACATTGTACCCATGTGGGGAATCGAACCCGGGTCTTCGGCGTGACAAGCCAACGCTTTAACCACAAGGCTACCCCACCGTCTCACAATGAGGTCCACCTGAAGCCCGGGCGACAGCAAACACAAATGACATTTGCTTCTGTGACAACATCCATTGTTTGATAGTCAACAAGAAAACACTGTGAGACCAATTCAAGTATCCATACTTTTCAACAACATTACATGCTGAAGAACTCACACTTAAAGACTTAGAATGATCAATAACAGTCAAGCGATATAGAAGGTAAGAATTGTAAAATTCTCAAGCAAACTTGGAATGTTGTGAATGATTGAAGGACATTTGGACAGGCAATGAGGTCCACCTGAAGCCTCTACAGCCTTCCAGTGCTTAAAGACAACACCCTAACTACCCAAATTCTGTCTTAATGAAGCTGTACCTGGGGTCTTAGTGAAGCTGTACCTGGGGTCTTAGTGAAGCTGTACCTGGGGTTTTAATGACATTAATGACCAGGATCCGGTTGTATCATTGCTTCATTAACTAATGTCAACATCAAACCCTAATGATACATTAAATCCTTAATGCATCATTAGTTAATGGCATCATTAAAAACGGTTGTATCAAATACTTATTAGCGTATCATTATCTAATGACGTCCTAATGTAAATATTTTCATTAAATCCGGGAATTCCCCTAATATTTTCCCACAATTCCGCGCTGTAAACATGTAAGTGTTACTCTCCGTCGTCTGTCAAAATGGCATCTTTGGGGCTAAACCTCGGAACAATAACAAACATTTCGACTGCTGTGAAGAAACACGCCTAAATAATTCTGAACGTCACGATAAACCTAGAATCGGTTGGGATGTTTTGGAATATACACGAACACCTAACCGCCGAGCTTTCCGCCATATTGATAGTGTTTACAAAATCAAGTTTCGCTAAGGCCAGTCATAGGACGCCTATTACATCATGTATATTTCATATTCAGTTGTGACAAATGCATCGCTGAATTCCTCATACATTTTAGAATCAAATTCCAAATGGTCTTTGTCACTATAACAAAGTGTCTAAGAAAAAACGAAAAACATATTGGGTGTGAAAACGAGACGTTGTGCTCATTACACAGTGCTTGCTAGAAATATAAACAAAACAAAAATAAATACTGTGCAGCATTTTCTCAATTTTTTAGACATCAGTTCGTCTATTCGTAGTATGTATGAGCTCAATATTTTTAGAATACGCACGGAAAGAGTATCGTAGCAAGAACTAGAAAACTTAAAACAGATACAATACTGAAATTTCCTATATTCACACGAAAAGTTCTGTGCAGCGTGTCGCCATGCGAGACGCAACATCATGGAGAACGATTATAGGCAATTATCGGCATTTCTGACGCTTTCAATGAAAACAATGAAAACAAACAACCATACGGAGATAGTCAGAATGTTTCCGACATTTACATCATACATTTATGGACAAAGGTTCCTCGCGAAAATCGTGGGCACCCATATCCACGGTCGCCATTTCATGAGAAATCGGTCATCGGTAGCGATGTCATACATCAACATTGTTGGACGTGATGTGGCAATTTCTTTGAGGTGAAGGTCGGTTGAATAAGAGTAAACACAATCACACTGCCCCATGCGGATGACACTTGTATTATTAATGTATACTTTATGCCTCGCTCACATATGGTTTCATGAAACTAATTTCATTATCAACATTTAGTATTTTAAACCTAAGTAAAACTGACATAATAAATTAAAATGATTTATTTATTTCATGAAATATATATGCACACGCTTTTAAAGGATATGTCTTGTTCATTGAATTTGTTTATGTTGTGTTATAGACAAAACAATGGCGATAATCATTGGC